AACATAATTTTAAAATAAATTTTTTTAATCTTTAATAGGTAAACACATAAATGCTAACTCATAATATAATGACCTTTGTAAAAAAATTATAAACTCATAATTTCGAAACTCCCCTTCAATTGGGGCTATTATTAAAAAACTAAAACTCAAAAATTTTCTAATATCATAGTTGCTTTTAAAATATATATATAAACGGAACTTAAAGTAATTGATTGTTGATAAAATAGTTCAAACCATATTTCTGTCCCACTTTTTTTTAAAGAAATATTTTATTCTTATTTTATTGATTGCACATAAATAAAAATTGAAAAACTACTATGCACTTTAAATTTCACTATAATGCATGACAGGAGGTTTTAAATGAAGAATTATCCTTATTTATTATACAATTTAATATGTAAAATAATATATAACATTGAAAAAACCAACTGTTAATTGAGTGGAAAAAATTTGATTTTTTTAAAAAAAATCTCAAATTCAAATCTTAAGTCTTATAAATAAAAAATCAAATATTAAGAAAGTTTCCTATTAATGGATCTAATACAACTTGATTCTAAAGTTACCAAACATGGGAGGTTAATAAAAGAAAAAAAAAGAGCAGTGAATATGAATAACAGGAAAAACTGATGGTAAATTTTTTTTTTTTTTTTTTTTTTTGGGGGCCAAGAAGTACCACATTATGGTTTGTGAAATTATGAGGGCTATTAATCCCTGATGTGGCTAGGGCAGCTGGCCCATGGCTGTTGGTTTCTGGTCGCTGGGATTTTGAGGTTTCCGGTGGTTCCAATAGAATGGGGCGGTTATCGTTTGAGTTTCAGACTCTGAAGCCATATCCAATCAAATTCATATTTTCCTCCTCTCCCTCTAACTCTCCACAGATAATTCGCAAAACCCATTGTCTTTTCCACTCTCCGAGACTCACCGGAGCCATTGAGTTTCCTCCTCTTCTTCTCGTTCGTTCTCATTCCCCCGTCCGGTCTCCTTACATATGCAAGTCAAACGGATCAGGTAACTTTCTTCTGCAAATTGGAATCAATAATTCATGAAGAGAAACGGTTAAATTCTCTTTGGAATTTTTACAAACAGCTGATGTGCAAGTTTTTTTTGTAGATATTATTTCACAGCTGGAACTTGGGAAACCGGAAGACCAACCAAAGCCTGTGAAGCGCGTTAATGGGGTGTTTTGGATTATACTTGTAAATCTTGGAATATTTGTTGCAGACCACTTGCTTCAGGTACTCGATTCTCTTTCTCCTTTTTACAGTTACATAATTCTGCAAAGCTGAAAAGTTCATTGAAAGAAAACAAATTATTGGTGAGATAGTTAGCTGATGTTATTACAGCTTAGATAAGATATGTTTGATCACTAAATATGTTGTCTTCCATGGAAGCAAAATTTTTCTGATTCATTTTTCTTTCTGTAGGTTCGTGGCATTCAATCTCTGTATTTGTATCATAATTGGCCTGCTTGGTACCAATTTATAACAGCAACATTTTGTCATGCTAATTGGTAAGATCTCTATCCATTGTCGTATAGATGCTGGATCTTGAACCATCTGACTGAAAATTCAGTGAATAGCCCTTCATAAAGGGAAAAGTGGAAAAGCCTTGTTTCATTAGCTAGATTCCTAGTCATGGGATGATTCTTGACTGACTATTTTGGCTTGGATGTTTACTGTCTGGCCTTGAATCCTGTTCAGGAAGCATCTTTCAAGCAACCTTTTCTTCTTGTACATTTTTGGTGAGCATCTTGTTATTCTTTTTGGCTATAAATTGAGTTTGGCTTTAATTGAGTGTGAGATTTGATTGTACCTATATTGTGCAACAGGGAAGCTTGTTGAAGAAGAGGAAGGAAATTTGGCATTGTGGCTCTCTTACATTGTCACAGGGGTTGGAGCGAACATTGTTTCATGGCTGGTTTTACCAAGAAATGCAGTTTCTGTTGGAGCTTCTGGTGCTGTTTTTGGGTTATTTGCAATCAGTGTCCTTGTAAAGGTATGCTGCAGCTGAACTGTACTTGTAGTATATAAGGCTTAGTTGGACAATGTTGATATGTAGCTGTAGCTGTAAGGTTTTTTGGTCCTTTAATACCCTAAAAATATATAAAATATATAAAATATATTTAATATTTATTTTAATTAATATTTTATATATCTTTAAAATAGTAACAAAAATATAACAACTAGAAGTAAAGCACTAAAAAGTGTTGTCAAACGAGACCTAAATTTCATAGTGAGATCAAAACAATATGAATCTTTTAGAAAAGTAATTAGATTCTTGAGAATACCTTTGCTTGTTCTAGATGTCATGGGACTGGAGGAAGATCCTTGAAGTGCTGATATTGGGCCAATTCGTCATAGAAAAGGTGATCAGTTCCTGACATTCTCTTGAAAATTGTGACAAAACTATGGGTCTTCCAGTTTTATTTCATTTCTAAGACTTAAAATTGTCATAAATCTCCTTGATGTTCTATAGGTGATGGAAGCAGCCCAAGCTTCAACCGGACTGTCAGGCACTTCCTATGCCTTGCAGAGTGTCAATCACATTGCCCATCTCTCTGGTGCCCTTATTGGTGTTCTTCTCGTATGGCTTCTCAGCAGAGTTCCTTCTGAACCTCCTGATGAAGAAGTATCCAATTTCCAGAAAAAGAAGGGTAGAAATACTTAAGAAGTTCTCGCGGCGTAGAGGTATCCAACTATGATAGAGCTATGGAGAGCAAAACCAGGGACGAGCCAGCAGGGAGGGTGTTTATGACGAGTAGATTGTTGAGGCATTACAATGCAGGAAACACAATCTGCTTAACAATTGCATTTAGGAACAAGTTAATTGTGTGAATTTGTATTATTTACATATTCTGAATAGCTTCCAAATAATTTTGGTATTTATGAAGAAGTAAAGCCAGCGAAGTTCTTATTGAGTTAATGCATATTTTCAATCGGCCCAGCACCCTGTGTCATTCTGAATGCAACAGTAGGTAATTCAACAACAGGTACAATCATAAGAAATTTCTATAGAAAACAGGATGCTAAGAATTGGTTAACATGCAAGGCAGATGATATGTAACATATCAATACAATCTTGATGTAAACTTGATTAGATAAACTAAAAATCAATTGTCAGTAGATACAAAAGAAGCAGTACTTGCATTCTTCAGTGCACCTGAAAGAAAAGAGAGGCTCATGAACGTGGAGGGCACTCCCTCCCCAATTACAATTTTGACAGCAAGTTGCTTTTCCCTTTTTCTTGTCTCCCTTGGAGGAAAATACAACAAAGAGATGCAGAGGCAGACATTTTGTGTCCCATTCAGTTCAAGAAAACTGCTGCACATGAAGTTGAAAGCTGACCATACATACGAACCTGCCTTTGGGACTGCTTCTGGCAAATAATTGGATACCTAGCCCCAAATATACAACTATGAGAAATGTAGATAGATTTTGTAGACAATCCAGAGCTTTCCTGTTGAAAAATAGCATCTCTCTTCAACAACCGACCTCTTCTAAGTGATGGAGCTGACCCCTTTTGACCACTTGGTATCTGCAAATGATCAGAAGACAAGGCACTTGTGGTTTGCTTGTGATATAGTTCTTCTAAGCTTTCAACTGACCTGTCTTTTGCCGTTTCTGTCTTGCAACTACTAGTGCCCAGTATTCTATTTGCTTCATTAATGAATCCAGCAGTATGCCAAGCTTCTGCTACAAGCAAGATGGTAGATTCCTTAGGCTGAATCCTGAACCGTTTCATAATTTGGAGAGTTTCTTCCGCTTTTCCTGGTTGCTTGGCTTTGCTATATCCCCAAATCAAGGTCTCAAAGGTCTTAAGATTAGGAGTAATTCCACATTCACACATCTTGTCAAAAATTCTGATTGCATCATCCACCCTGCCGGCACTGCACCACCCCCAGATAACAGTTCTGAAGATCACGATGTTTGCATGGGACCCTGACTCAAGCACCGTTGTAAGAAGTTCTTCAGCTTTCTCTGGTTTTTGTGCTCGCACATAAGCCTTAGAAAGAATGCTGTATGCATGAATATCAGGCTGTATACCAGCTTTCACCATGTCATCAAAGATTTCCTTGCACTTGTCCAAAAATCCTGCTTGACTCCATGCATCCATGATTGTGCTAAATGTTATGACATGTGGTTCCACCCCAAATTCTTCCATCAATCTAAGGACCTGCAGATCAGATCAATTCTTACGATGAATTTATATTCCCTTATGCAGGAAGTAGCACACAGGAGTTGAAAAGTCAAACCAGTCATAAGTATATGAACAAGTAACAAATTTCTATTACCTAATAAAAGGGAAAAGAAACTATAATGATAGGCATACTCACCTCATCAATCCCATCTCTGTCCATGATGTCAACAAAACCTTTGATCAGAGAGTTGAAAATGATAAGATTAGGATTCACCCCAAGTTCCTTCATCCTATATACAAACCTCAAGGCATCCTTCATTCTACCTTCTTTACGATATCCACTAATAATGGTACAACAAGTTTGCTCATTGAGAGCTAAATTGTTCTTTTGCATCTCTGAAATCACCCGTTCAGCTTGATCAGTCTCTCCATTCCTTGCATAAGCTGTTATTAAAGTGTTGTAAGTAATAGCATCAGGCTGCATACCTGAAGCTACCATCTTATGTACCACATTCCAGGCCTCTGTCATGTTCTTGTTGCAGCAATCTCTGACAATTAAATTATAAGTCTTGAGACCTGGTTTCACATTTTCTTCTTGCAACATCAGGTCTAGCACTTTCAGAGATCCTTCAGGCTTCCCAGCATTCCTATACCCTTTGATTAATGCTTTGTAAGTTCTAAAAGTGGGTTGCAATCCACTCTCCTTCATCTTCCAGAAAGTTCTCATTGCTTCTTCTATGTTGCCAGGTTCAATGAAGGCCTCTATAACGGTGTTGAAAAAGATCACATCAGGCTTCATTCCCCTCCCTTCCACGTGTGAGATGATTGAATGTATGGACTCAAAGCGCTTCTGAGTGGTCAAGGCTACCAACAGAGTTGTGTATGTTACCAGAGATGGTACATGACCTCCTTCAATCAATTTATCAAAAATGGACACAGCTTCCTGTGGCTTTCCTCGTTCAATCAGAATGGTCATTAGTTTTGTCCATGCAAGCACAGTTTGACAACTAGTCTTTGTCATGCAGATAGAGCAGTGAGATTGAATTCGGGAATCTGTATTCTTTATAACTGTCTTATTCTCACCACCAGCTGACTTCACCTAAATAGTTGGAAGTTTTAAGTATAAAAATCAGATTTCGGAAAACAAAGACCATGTAGACCTTCTTAGACATTTACAAACATCCTCAATTATTTGAACCAAAGCAAAAATAAGTTCATTGGTTTCCCTTAATAAGAAGAGCAAAGGCCAAAATTTTCACAATGTCCAAAGAAACAATATACCATATGAATATGCTTGAAGAACTACAAATTATTCTCATATTCTCCACTTATGAGCATAAGCCATACATAGAGCTTCATTATGAGTGTAGGGCATTTTAAGGCCATTGATGCCTTAAGTGCGATCAAGCCCCCATGTAAGCCTCAATCATACTTTTGTTGAAATCATCAGCCTTATTCAAGTTTACCATGCTAGGCACAGTAATTTACAATGTTTTCATCTAACTAACAATTAAATTAAACGCCTATAAAAAGAATTAAAGTCAAACTCTAAGCAAGCATATAAAGATACAGGAGTGCTAAGAACAGTTTATGCGTCTTTTCGGAATATCATACTAGACATATAAAATTTATTGAGCTTTCACTAAGATTTTATCCCATGCTAACCCTGCTGATAAAAGATTATCATAGGACAAACAGATTATACTTCATAATAGCGACATGGAATACTCATTTCCTCACAAAAGAGTATAGATTATCATCTCAAGCAATCTAAAAACACCAACAAGTTTGCCCTTTGGACTAGAACTAAACCAGACTGCTCGGACTACATAACATAAGTAGCAGAAAAGAATGATGCAGCCCAACAAATCTATCTAATTGGTGAATTTCCAAGATTTGAATGTACTACCTTAGCTGGCACTGCTACAAAACGTCCTCGTCCAAATTTGGGAGTTCCTGATTCATTTTTGCCGGCCATTTCAGAAAATGCCTTCTCCTCACCAGATTCCCCCATATGACAATCTCCACTTAAAGTCTTGATTGCATATAACTTTGCATTTGCTAGACTGCAAAAAGAAATTCAATATTTATTGACTTCTACACATAGCACAAAAAGAAGATCCTGTATTTGGAATGTACAAAATGAAAACAAACAAGAAAATAATTCCTTCCGCCTATTTCCCCATTAAAAGAAAAAAAAAGAAAAAAAAAGAACGAAGGAAATACACTATCTGGTACCCCTCCAACCAAGATGGATGCTTGTATTCCGCCACATAATTCAATCAAAGAACAGAATTTCAAAAAATAATCAAAAAATCCAATCTTTGGCATGCATTTTGTATCATCATTCCCTCATCAACCAAGCAAAAACGAAATTAAATTCTGCTCAAAGTCCAAATTATAAAATTTTCAATCTGAGACTTCCAAAATCCAAATAACCATCAACACCTACGAAAAACCAACCAAAAATTCATCACACCCATCATCCGTTATATGTGAAAACTAAATAAAAATAGATTAAAGTCGCTTACTTTTCTAAAAAAGGCTATTTATAACAAAGAAAGAGGAGATGAGTTTTCATTTCTGCAAGGAATAAGGAAGAAAGAAAGTGTACATTACCGTGGTTTATCTGTGTGCTCAGTTGATTGCAGCACTGAGATAAATCCGGTATGAAGAAGATGGCAGGAGGAGTTACAGGGCATCGCATTGAAACAATATATATAGAAAATAAAATGCATTAAAAGAAATTAATACCCACAGAAAAGGAAAATAAATTAGTTTATTACGAGAGAGACAAAACATACCATTAGAGATAGGTTAAAACCCCGATTCAGTCCCTCAACTTTCATTTTTGAACTAAAACTACCCTCGAACTTCAAAAAGTACTAAAAAAATCCTTGAACTTCAATTTTTGGGACCAATTTCGTCCTTCCGTTGACGGAACACGTTAAGTTGCCACGAAATCGAGCCTTTTTTTTTTTTTCAACTAATGACATGGAAAAACCACATGTAAAAGTGTATGAGTTGGCATTTTATCCTTATCTTCAATTTTTTATATTTGTTGAAGTTACCAAAATACCCTTATCTTCAACCTCTCTTCAATTCATCATCTTTTTTCTTTTTTCCCTTCTTTTTCTTTCTGGTTCCTCGCACAATAATAATGACCAATAGATCTGATTCAAAAAATCAATTCCTCTGCAAATGTATACCAGATCTGTAAAGGAAAATGTAAAAAACACAGCATCTCTTCAATCAACACTAACAGTAACTAGATCTTGAAATTCAAGCAATCAGAAGTCACACAAAATTCTAAATCCCATTCCAAGATAGCCAAGCATGATTGTAGCCAACAAAAAAACAGAAGAAAAAACCTAGGCGGGTTCGACTCAAACCCAAGCGTCCTGGGTTCCTCGAACCCAGGCGTCTTGGGTTCCATCGAATCCAAGGCCTGGGTTTGAGGAACTCGTGCCTGGGTTCCTCGAACCTAAGCCCTGGGTTTGAGGAACCCGCGCCTGGGTTCCATCGAACCCAAGGCCTGGGTTTGAGGAACTCGCGCCTAGGTTCCTCGAACCCAATAGGGAGGGGAAAGAGAAAAGGAAAGAGAAGGAGAGAAAAAAAAAGAAAAAAGAAAAAAGGAATTTTTATATATTAAATTATATTTTTAGTGCCAAATCACAATATTTTTATAATTAAAAATACCACTTCATTTGTTTTATTTCCAAGTAACATTTAATATTAACAAAAATTGAATTTGTTAACGAAAAATTTTGCCATGTCAGCACTTAACTGACAGAAGGACAAAATTGGTTCCAAAAATTGAAGTTCAAGGATTTTTTTAGTACTTTTTGAAGTTTGAGGATCGTTTTAGTTCAAAAATAAAAGTTGAGGGACTGAATCGGGGATTTAACCTTAGAGATAAGAAAAAGAGAGGCTGAAATTTTGAATTAGGAAATTGCTATTTATCCCCTTTTATTTATTTTTTATTTTTTGTATTTTCCTGGAGTTGATTGGGCTGGGTTTATAGCCCGTCTTGACATCTGGGCTTCAATAGTACAATTTAAAAAGGATTATCTTGTTGAGTTGAGTAGTTAAATTTTAGATAAATGGGCCGTAGGACCAGTCCAAAACCCCTTTTAACTTAGTTGGGCTCCGGGGTGACTTAATCTGGCCCAATTGGAAACCCATAAACGCCGCACCTTGAAATTCGCCGGTTCTTTTTACTGTTTGCCCTAAACAAATTTCCCGGAAAATGATTTTCTCACGGGAACAGGAAATCCTGGAAAAAACGCGGTGATCAAGGACGGGAACTCGCAACTCTTTCTGGCGTTCATTTCTTCTCGCAGAAAAATTAGTGCGGTCGCACCTTAGATTAGAGATCAATGCGATAACAATGACCATAATCCTGTCCGATCTAAGATGAATCCCAGAAAGCCCGACGGTCCACAACTGATAATCCTGTTCTTTCCCTGAAGAATCCGTTTGATAGCAGGGATATAATCGTTTTAAAGAATAGAAGAAATGTTGAGGTTGTGGAGATGGTACCAGAATTGCTTGGCAATCCACCCAGTGAAGACGCAAGTTATAAGCTCGGGTTTAATTTGGGGATTTGGGGATTTTGCAGCGCAGACTGTTACCCATTTCACCGCCAAGAGGAATCGCCAGTTTCAGGTAGGTACATAAACTTTTCAAATACCCATTTAATTTAAAGGCATAATCTTTTCAATTCTTGCTCTTATTCAGTGTTTGGGCAAATGGGTTCTCCCCTGTTTTTAGGTTATGCAAGATATAAGACTGGTAGGTTTGGCAGGGTTATAAGGATTGTAATGGGGAGGGAGAGGGAGGATTAGATGCTTTTTCTTATAATAAACAGACACCTAATGCCTTCATTCTTTATGGATTTGATAAGCAATTTTTTTCTTTTTTCAATCAGCAGATTTCGTAAGCATTGAGTGTTATTCAGCTTATTCTTTTATGGTAGAATGAAAAATTTCTCTTATATACCAGGAAAATGATAAAAAATTGAAGATCAATTGGAAACGAGTGGCTACAACAAGCTTGTTTGGGTTTGGATTTGTTGGACCAGTTGGCCATTTTTGGTAATTGTCTCTTACCTTTGAGAATCGACATGGATTTACTTGACTAAAGGGCATGATGTCTATATGGACATGTAATGAAAAGGATACTTCATCAAAATGTGGGTATATAACCTTAAATGCTCAGTTTGTTAACTATTGTTACTCCAAACTAAAATATTAAATGGTGCATATTATATGAAAACTTACTAAGACGTAAAGTTCAGATCATGGAGTATCATCTTAATGATTTTTGTTTTGTTGGGATTAGATAATGCTGTAGGGAGCTACTCTTGTATGATTTTGGCAAGGTCTTCTTCAATCACATGCATCTGTTGGTGCTCCTTCAATGTGTGCCTGGGTCATTTCTTGGGGCCACAAGAATGAACTGAACTTTGGTTTTGTCTTCACTAATCAACTTCTGTTATCTTACCTCGTTTGATCTAGTCTCATGGTGATTTGCTAAGGCATTTAAACCCAAATATTTGCAGTGGATTTTTAGTATATGAACATTCCTAACATCAAAAGATGTGCTGGAGATTTACAAATTGGAGGCTGGTTTACTAGAGGACTTTGAAATAACTTGTGATTGCCTCATTTTCCCTTTGAGGAGCCATTTATCTGTGGTAGAAGTTGAAGGGACAAGATGAAACAAGTCTTACTCTTCTCCTAGCGTGCTTGTTATTTGTGCTCACTTCTTCTTGGCCTTTTGTAGGTATGAAGGTCTAGATCGATATATAAGGTTACGACTTTTTCTACAGCCAAATACTTATCGTTTTGTAGCTGCTAAGGTAGCAATTGATGGGCTCATCTTTGGTCCATTGGATTTGCTCGTGTTTTTCTCTTATGTGGGATTTTCTACCGGAAAGAGTATGACTCAAATTAAGGAAGATGTGAAGAGGGATTTTATCCCAGCGTTACTTCTTGAAGGAGGTATATGGCCAATTGTTCAAGTTGTAAATTTTCGGTTTATACCAGTAAGGTACCAGCTACTTTATGTAAACTTCTTCTGCTTGTTGGATAGCTGTTTCCTGTCATGGATTGAGCAACAAGAGAATGCTCCTTGGAAGGAACGGTTGAAATCTTTGCTACATTTGAAGTAGAAAGTCATAGGCTACCAGATGAGTTAGAATACCCTTCTCAAGATTCATTGCAGGTTAAATTGTTCAAAATGCAAATATATACGAGGGTAATAGTGATAAAACCTACAGAGAATTCAGAATTTTCAGGTTTTCAGGTTTTCAGGTTTTAGGAGTTACTTTTTGGTCTGCTCATGTTTATCTGATTCCCCTTCTGCATACAAACAAGTACCTGCTCATTATGATCTTCAAACAACTTCTTTCATAGATATTCTGTTAATTTTCTATGTGTATATTTTTCGACTCCATCCCCGCTCGTACCATTCTGAGTTTCTAGGGCTGATTTTCACAGGAAAGGAAGCTCATATATAACAATTATATCTTTGTTATAAACCTTTGTCAACTACATTGGTGATTCCCTTTGTTATTTAATATTTAATGTTTCTTTTATGAGAGATTGATTCTGGTTGGCGTTAAACAGTGAATATGCAGCTTAAATTTTGGTTCTAAAGCACTAACATGATCCTGAATTGTGGTATGAACAAGTATGGCGCATATTCATACTTCAAAAATGAAAGTGCTAATTGTACTAAAATAAATTTAGTTCTTCTCATCCTTCCTTGTCCAGTTGACAATCAATCTGGATACCTTATTTAAAAGGAAAAAATTGATATTTTTCCAGGGGTCAAAAATATCATCAAATAGTTTTTCTGCGGCTGCTTGATTCCTCGGTTCCATCCTCTGCTCCCTTCACTTCATTTTCTTCGGAACGGCTACTGGATGAAGACGCACTAACACCATATTGACTAGTTTCTCCACAATCACTGAAGCTGGTAATCTCATGGAGTGGTGCCAAGAAAAGTTTGTTCAATCCCTCGTACTCTTGGATGTTATGGATTGAACTTTCTGAATTATCAAGAGATTGGAGAGAAATGTCAACTTCCAGAGTCCGGACTACCTGCTTGGTTAAAAATGAGTTCATAACATCTTGGTGAGAGTAATGGCACAAAAATCAGGATTAAGTATCTTGTTCAAGCATTAGGAGAGCTGATGTAAAACGGATTTTGAGTTACCTGGCTCATCCGAGGTCTGTTCAATGCAGATTGCCGCACACAAGCAGCAGCACAAGCAACCATTCTAGTCATTTCACACATGCTGTAATTGCCATTTAGTTTTGGATCAGCAAGAGCACCAAAATCCCCATCTTCCTTAGCTTGAAGGAGAAGAGGCTTGGCCTGTATTGCCAACATAGGAAACATACATTATTTTCAGAAGGGTTTGGACCTAGACACAGAATAATGTACTTCATTTCCTGCTCATACATAATTTCTTCAAAGAGATGAAATCAAGTTCTGAAAAGATCATCCTGAATTGTTTCCTTGAAGAAAATTTACCCAGTTAACCAATCCCTTTTCCGGTTCATCCTTGCTGATAGGCGGACGTCCACTTATAAGCTCTATAAGCATGACACCAAAGGAATAAACGTTAGATTTTTCTGTCACTTTACCAGTTGATGCGTACTCTGGGGCGAGGTATCTGCAAACATTAATATTATAAATTTCAAATGAAGGAAAAGGCAGTCTCATGATGGGTGGGAAGAGGTTTGGGAAGGGGAATTGAAGGCTATCCCCTGTTGTATAGGGCACCATCGTGATCATCAAATGTACCAAAAAACAGAAAGCATCTTACCCAAAAGTTCCCACAACGCGGGTGGAGATGTGGCTAATAGGTGCATTGGCATCAGAAAAATATTTTGCAAGTCCAAAGTCAGAAACCTGAACAAGATAGTAGTCAGTGTCAGAAAATACCTATAAATTATATATAGCAACATAGAAATTGCGTCAGTTAAGGTTAGGGAGTGTAGAAGTTACCTTTGCCTCAAATCTAGAATCAAGAAGAATATTAGAAGCCTTGATATCACGATGAATGATTGTTGGGTTACCTGCAGTTCAAACACTACTTCAGTCAGATGTAAACTAGGAGATTCTGAGTCTTGAGTTCAAAACCATCATTTATTTCTTACTTCTTCATGCAGGAAAAAGAACCAATGTTAAAATTGTTCCTAGAGGGGAGAGTATCTGAGAAGAAAAGGGACTCACAATCTTCATGAAGATATGCTAACCCTTTTGCAGATCCTATTGCAATTTTGAGTCTGGTGTCCCAATCTAAAACCGGCTGCTGCCTCCCTGCAATGCATATCTAATTTCCATAAACTGCAGCAGAAATAATAGCATTATTGTGCAGAGAAAGAGGTTTCTAATTCTATACAAATCGTGACACAAGAAAATGAAGTAGTGCCAACCATGCAAATGGAATTCCAAGGTTTTGTTTGGAACAAACTCATAAACAAGCAATCTTTCGGCGCCGGTGATGCAGTGCCCAACTAAGGACACAAGATGTTTGTGATGCACTCGGGTAATGGTCTCAACCTCTGCCTGAAATTCTCTCTCCCCCTGATTGCTTCCGGCCTTCAACTTCTTAACTGCAACCTCTTTCCCACATGACAGGACTCCTTTATGGACATCTCCAAAACCACCTTTCCCCAGAAGATTGGATTCCGAGAAGCCATTTGTAGCCACAATCAACTCATCGTACGTGGAAACACTAGCAGAGGAACTCAGGCCAGGACTGCTGTGACCTGAGTCATTGGAGCCACAACCTTCACTATTCTGCTGCACTATAATGACACAGGCTTCTGACGGATGTGATGAGGAAGGAACTGCAAATTAAGGTATACAAAATTAATGTAAGAGTCATTAAACATTGACAATTTAAGGGCAGAGTCATTCTCACCTCCCCTCTCTGAGAGTTTTTTGTAATGATTTTCCAGTGGTGGCTTCTGGTTTCTCCTACTTTTGCGGCATTTACAGAGAAGCAGAAACAGAAAAAACAGAAGAAGAACACCAGTAACACATCCTATTATAAGCCCAAATGATGCATGAAAGCCTTTTGAACCAGAATCAGATGCATGAGAATCTCCATTTCCGATTGAGACTGTAAATGATGATGGGGGTGATGGCGGTTGGGATGCATCAAACTCCGGAGTAGTGGGAACCCGTGGTGATGGGGATGCTCGAGACCCTGGAATCTTGGGATAAACGACCACACTAGGTGGAGGTAATGGTGGAGACGACAACGGCAATGGGGGTGAGCGATTAGGATGTGGTGGAGATAAGGGCAGGGGAGGAGAATGTCGCACTGGATGAGTGTTACGTACAGGAGGTGGTTGAGTGACTGATGGGGTCAACAGTGGAACAGGGGTCGATGGTCCTGAAGGAGGAGGATGAATTGGCGGAAGAGAAGAGGTAATTGACAGCGGACCTGAAGCCACCGGCCGAATGGCAGAGGCAACAGGAGAGGTTGAATTTGAAGTTGCATTGTGCTGTATACCAGGCAATGGACAAGGTGCGGGACTTATCTGAGTGGCGTTGCCGGACGGAGCAGCCACATGCACATGCGGTACCGGTGAGTCAGCTGGTGTTGGGATCGGAGACGGAGCGAGAACTGGATTGGCAATTTTGTTTGGTGGAGTAGGCAGCAAGTATGGCATGAGTGCTGTTGATGGTGGCGTAGAGTTGGCTTGAGAAGCTACCAGCGATGGCGACGGCAATGCTAACCGCGATGGCGACATCGCAGAATTTAACATGCAGATGACTTTGAGGTGGGAAAGTTTATAATTGTAGTGTAATAATCGTAAGGTTTATAACTAAGTTTTTGGTGCGAACTGCCAATATATAAATATAATAAGATAATTTTTTAAATTTTGAATTGAATTTTAATTAAAT